TCTCTCCCTTTACTCTCTGCGCATACCCTCAACGCATACACACATCACACAACAGACACGTGATGATGGCTTTGTCAATTTCCACTTTTTGGGCTTGCTCGCAAGATGTTTGAGAAAATGAATGATAAGGATATAGTTTTTTGGTTTCTGTTTGGTCCTCTCCTTGGTTTCTTGGTTTTCTGTGGGCAATGGGTTGAATTTATTTTTCACTTGGATAGGGTTTGTTTGATTTTTGTTACTATTTATACGACATTTGTTAGGTTCCCTTCCTTGGGGTTTAGTTGTTTTTTTCAAAATAATTTCTAACTGAATCCTTTGGTTTTTTTTATGCAGGAGCAGTAGGACCACAATTTTTGTATTGGTGGCAAAAAATATGGTGCTCCGCAATAGAAATTTTGCGTTTAGTTTCCATGATTGTAATATCTTTTTGCTACATTACCATTTTAACAATTGTTGTTGTTCAATATTTTATTCCATTTTGTTTGTTTTTTATATCTACTTTTTTCCCCTATTGTTTTATTAGTTTGCTACCATCCATTGTTAATCCAGCTTTTCAAAACTAATTTCATGTGGCTGACAAGTTGAGTATCTTCATATTTGATCTCTTATAAAATTGATGTTTGACACTTCCTTGACCTCAACTATTCATGTGTATTGTTGTTTAGGTAATAATAATTTTAATTAGTATTCTTTTAATTCTGTTTTTGCTTATATATTTAATCTCTACTTGAATGTGGTACGTGATTTATCAATTAGTTTTTGTTTGGTTGTGGAACATGTTCTTTCAAGTCATATGCCTCTTACTAAATAGTTAGTTTGAGTGAAAGTTTTGAGTTCGGATTGATTTGCTTCATACATAGGTTTTCATGGACCATTTGATGAAATAGCAAATGAAAGATGGTGAAGCTCCTGCCTAGAGGGATAGAGATGTTGAGAAACTTCATTCCACTTGGTAAGCTTGCTCCACTTTCCATTCTGTGGTTTTGAAATTTATGAAAATGACACACTCATTATTCTTTTCCCACTGGATACCAATATTTGGTCAACACACAATAAAGAAACCTAGAAAAACACATAGAGAATGGATGCAATTAATTTTGTTCGGGTTGTCGAGTCATCAATTAGATCGAGGCTTGATCTTCTTATCCTTTATTTTATCAACAACAACAACATCTTTGACAAAGAGCTTTGCTTGTGCGTATTTGGGGCATCTGCAACGACTGGGATTGATTCTCTTGCTGGGATTCATTACATGTCTGGTTTAATAATATACCTTTATGTGAATACTTTATAAAATGTCTTTGATATGGGTATTAATGGGATGATTTTTGACGAAGTGGTGTATTTCTATTGGGATTTTACCCAGTTCTTTTTGTAGGTTTGGTTTTGATAACATTTTGATATGGTAGAAACACTTTACAGGTATGAGGTGATTAATACATTTTTCAATCTTTCTGTCTTTATTATGGTCTTCTTCTTGGTCAGTTTGTGTGCTGAGTTTTCTAATGAATTGCCCATGTTTTTGTGTCAGGCCATGTTATGCACATTTTGTGCATTGTTTTTGGTAATACTATGTTAAAAACATATAGGTTTCTATGAAGTATGCCCTTTTTGTCCTTTCATCAGTTGAAAGTGTCTGATTTTTTTATTTTGTTTCTAATTATTATTCTTTTATTTTGATTAGTTTCAAACGGGTTCAACATTTTACATGTACTGGGAAAGTTTTAGCGGCTTAGTACGCCAAAAAAAAAAAAATGGAAAAATTTGACTGACTTTAAGCATTTGGGTACACTTAAGTGTATCAATTTTATGGTTTGTTCAGTGAATAATAGCTTATACAAGCATGTACTACCTTCCCCCACGCCCCACCAATCCCTAATGTCCTCCCCTACAAATCTTCTCTTTTTCAAAGCACAGACCTCCAGCCGCTGTTCTCTCTCGCTGATTGTTTCTCCCAAACTCCGCTGACTGCTCTTCTCGAACTTCACTGCTCATCTAGAACTCCGCTGACTATGAGGTGCCACACAACTTTCTGGTTCTCTCCCTCTCTGCTGACTGCACAACACTCACGAGACTTTGCACCATCTCTTTTCAACACACACAGCGCACAATCGCTTTTTTAACATACATCGGACAACACACAAGATGTTAAAAAAAGATGTCCAATGCATATTTGCATTATTTGTTGACAAATATTGTATCACATACCTTTTTAGTTTATTGATGGAACAATATGGACAATTACTGCTCATATTAATTCATCAACCATTCTAATAATTTCAACAGAGGATCCTACATGGATATCATGTATGAGAATTTTTGTGATATGCCGGTAGGCCTCTTGTGTCAAATGGATTCCATCCCAACTTATGTATTGAGCTGGGTTATGGCAAACAGGCACACCATAACGCCCACAAGCCCTTTTCTCATCGTAGTTATATACCCCTCCAATTCCACAACATGCTTTTAAGAGTGATTGTTTGTCGAACCCTAATAAACATGCATTACAAGTCAATATAAATGTAGTTCATCGTTTAAGATCATATATCAAGTTGCATGAATTCAAATTTTAATAATTTCTTTTTTCGACGCAAAAAAAAAAGTCGCGAAATAATATTTTGACTTTATTTTAATTTTAATTTTAGATTATATATTTTTCACGACGATTTAATAATATCTACCACAAAAAATATTTGTCATAAAAAATTGTCAATTCACACAACTTCCCACACCATAAAAATTTGGGAAAGAATCGCCATTTCGTGATGCATTTAGAAAAAAAAGGTTGTAAAAAAATTACAAAAATAGAAATTTGCGACAAATTATAAAATTGTCATGGATAGCATATTTTTTGCGACATTTTTAATTTGTTGCAAAATATGATTTTTTGTTGTGGTGACTAGTAAAGTATAGCTAGGCTATCACTAATGACCAAAGGCAGCCATGGGCAAGCAATAAGAAAACTGTTTATTTTAAAGTTGCACATTATAAACATGTGACCTAAAAGATCAATTTATGAGAAAGGAAACCTAGAAGACTTCAATCATGAATTTGAAACAATTTGCATAAAAAATAGGTGTGCTATTTTATTCTAGCCAGGATTCTATATTCCAAAAAATCGATGTACACTCTTATAAATCAGAGGTACATACTATTTTTTCCCTACTAATTGCTTGCTTAAATTTACAGCCCTTCATGCCATGCCTCAAGTGTGGGAGTGCTTCCAACCAGTCAAACCCTAGTCTATGACAAGTTGCTCCTTTTGCAGGAGCCAAGGTCACTAATTTCCTTGTACACTATTGTTGATCCTTCCAGAAGGATGTTCAAGCTTCATGGAAGAGATGAAGATCCTTGAAAATTGCTCCCAAAAGCTATGTCTAATTTTTGCTATGTGGAACTCTGATTAATTCCTCTTTTTGTAGTCACTAAGACTATTTTCCTTATGCAACATGTGTTGTTTGATGTTGTTGTGATGTCACTGTGATGCTTGGTGCCGAGATGTTGTGCCAGATATCTTATCTTCTCTTGCTAATCTATATTATTATTAATAAAAGTACTTTAATATGAAAAACTTCTGAATCTCTATTTTAACCTTATAAAGAATTGTAAAGATCACTCTATCCTTTAACAATTAAATATCTAAATTATCATCATATCCTTATATATTTAAATCTTCAAATTATCTCTAACATTTTTTTTAATTATCTATTCTCTATGTATAAATATTAGTTTCTATAAAAAAAAATTGATTGACTATATTACCCTTCAAAAAATATGTATCATTGTATTTTCAATAAAGTATTCAAAAAATCTTTAAAAATTTCATCAATCTAATATTACTCATCTTATATGCAAAGATAATATTATTCTTACGTATGTGTATTTTCTTCTTCATCAAAAAAGTTTAAACATTTCATTTCCAAGATTAAAAATTATCATATATTTAGTTTTTTAAAATCAATTTATGTTCCATTAATATAATTATTCATCCGCAATAAACTTTCTAAGTTGTATTAAGATTTTATGTGAAAATAGATATTATAGTGTACTTTTTAAGTAAAAATTGTATTTTTTTGAATTTTAACATCGTAAAACTTGAAATTTTTAGATTTTTTAGAGTAGTATATTAATTTTTATCTCAATTCTCCTAACCAATTCCTAATTATAGTAAGGTTCCAATATAATTAGTATATTAACAATTGCTTTTATTTAATTCAAGAAATTATAAGTGGAATCTTAATAAAATGAATTTCAAAAAAAATTATTTCTGAAACATCACTAAAAAATCAATCTCAATTACAAAATTCTAAAAAAAAAAATAGAATTTTAACTTTGTTTTTAAATCTTTTTTTTTAATTAAAACAAAGAATTTTGCGAACATAGAAAGTTTTATAATCTTATAATAAAATATGAATAATAAAAAATTAAGTTTTGTAAATTTGAGGTGATATTTAATTCAGATGCACATATACCTAATATGTTTTTATTAATTTTTGTATACAAAAACTATTAATGTGCAACGCACATGGTGCATTCCTAGTATTATGTCTAGAAGACTATTAGGTGATCTTTGTGTATGATTGTTCTTTTATTTCTTTGTTTAGAAGATTAGCCATCCCTATTGCCCCAAAGTTCTCTCTCTCTCTCTCTTTCTCTCTCTCTCAATGTCAGTTTTAGTTTTGAAGTTAGACAGACAGTTTCTTGTTCTTTCTCAAATAAATATTTTTTAGACCAAATATGTTGTGTACTTTGTGCTACTTTACGAAAAAAATAATTATTTGTTGATAAATATTGTATTACATATCTTTTTAGTTTATTGATGGAACAATATGAACAATTACTTCTCATATTTATTCATCAACCATTCTAATAATTTTAACAGAGGATCTTACATGGAAATTACATTTACCTAAAACACTTAACTCAATCCAAAAAAAAAAAAAAACCACATCATAAATTTTGTATGAAATATCATTAGGGCCTCATTTAAAAGTGTCACCTTAGGCCTCCATTGTCATTGGGCTGCCCATGGTTCCGGGAAGGATATCGTGTATGAGAATTGCTGTGATATGACGGTAGGCATCTTGTGTCAAATGGATTCCATCCCAACTTATGTATTGAACCGGGTTATGGCAGACAGGCACATCAGGATGCCCACAAGCCCTTTCCTCATCATAGTTATGTATCCCTCCAATTCCACAACATGCTTGTAAGAGGGATTGTTCGTTGAACCCTAATAAAAATCCATTACAAGTCAATATAAATGTAGTTCATCATTTAAGATTATATATCAAGTTGCATGAATTCAATTTTTTCTTTTTTTGCACAACTTTACCGAAATCAGGTGCACGACGAAGAATTGTTTGGAAAGATGTATAGTAGTCGGCATAAATTATGACAACATGAGGAAATTCAAGCCTAAGCAAGGCCAAAGCCTCCTGAAGAAACTTGTTCTGAGCCAATACTAACTCATTTAAATCTCTTAAACATCCCATATCATCATAAGTTGTCGGATCACCACAAGAGAATTTTGTCAGAAAGATCGGAAAGCAACCCATTGGAAAATTTCCAGGAACTACTATATTCACAGCACCAAGGTGTATAACTTCCTGCACAACATGATAATAACATGTATGGGAATTATTTTATATTATAACTTCCTTCCATAAATTTGATAAAAAAAAAAAAATCAAATATAAGAACTTACTCTAACAGCATTACTGATGACCTCTGTCATATATGGCAAGTAAGAGTAAACCTCTTGAATGGATTTTCCTTCCTGAAGAGAATAGTTAATGTCATTGCCTCCGATCTCACCCAAGAAGACAAGAGCCCTAGTAAACATTTTCGAACGTGCTGAATAAACATATGCAAAAACAAAACAATTTGAGTTATAGGATTGTTAGAGGTATCAAAAAGTATGGACTACCATATCAGAAGTTACAATCCTTTTTGGGTAGTTGCTTACGATGTTTGGACAAATATTTGCAAACCTGCTAGTGAGTGGCAATTGGTGCTGAGGTGGGATTTGAACCAGTTAAGTTGATCACCTAGGGAATTATTAGTCACAGGATTATAAATGCCCCTTGTGGAGAAGAAAGAATAGTCCAATGCTGTACTTCCAGCTACTGCAAAGTTGACGCCATGACTAAATGTACCATTACTTTCGAGATAAGGATTGAGCAGTGGGAGAGAAAGAGCTATAGCTGTAAATTATCAACCACATACATAGGGTTAGCCTTGTACATATATAACAATGTTATGCCAAAACATGGCTAGAATACATGGGAAAGCATGGTTTTTTCCTAATTGACCTTATGGCCTTGTTTCAAGCTTAATTGCATGTATAATAGTATATATATAAACTAAATCTATATAGATTCTTTTGTTTATATATTTATCAAATGTACACTCATGACGAATTTGTCTTTTTTTAAGAAAATTACTTGAAAAGGCACTAATTTTTTCACACAATCCAAAGGGTGAAATCATCAGTGGACACAAGAATTTAATCTTAGGCAAAAATAAATGTTCTTTTCTGGATGAATGGGAATTTATATCTGTACATATAGTACTGATTAACATATATACACATACATACATACACATATATGTATAGGTACTTAGCCAGTTTAGTTCCCATTAATTTAGATTACTGTTGGGTGGAATGAACTAGGTGTAGACCTAAAATTGACATTAGTTGCACAAAATGACTGTCCTAATATTTAAACCAATAACTTTGTGATCGTTGGGCCAAATTGTTACTATTATACCAGGATCCCTAATTGCATTTTTGACTTGAGGATGCTTATTGACTTTAATATTCAAGCGCGCCCAACGAATAGTTGTCTATAAATAATTGAAAAAAATTCATTAGTTCAAGTATAAAATCGAATTTCTTTTGCATTTGGAAACTATGATTCAGGGCATGTGGTTGAATTGCTACATCCTATTGTTACAATAATTTTCACCAAATATGTACTCCAAATATTGAGATTTGAGTTATTTGATTATCACAAATTTCTCATTCCAAGATTCTCAGCATAATTTCCCCCGTGCATATACCAGGCCCAATACAGGATCATAATTACCTGGCTTGAGGAGAGGGGGCTAGATGTATGTAGCTCTCACCTGTGTGTAGGGTCGAGAGAGAGTCAGGTGTGTACAGTTTTAACCTCACATCTAGCACTAGGTTACAATGAAGCAATCTTAATTACCATTGTGTCAATGCTTACCCTGTTTTGTGCTATGCTAACAGCAAAAACAAAAGTACCAACTAGTTTTGAAGAGCTATTTGCTAAACGAAGAGGTTTTAAATGCTTCAAAAAATGACTCAGAGACCACACACCTATTTTTTGTTGATGATCTTATCCTTTTTTCTCTAGAGCATCATGAAAAGATTGTGATAAGATGGGGGAGGTATTAGGTAGTTTCCATGATGCATCAGGGCGAAAGTCAGCCCATCAAAACCCGAAGTGTTCATATGCCCCTGTATTAGTAAAGCGTGTGCATGGATTCTAGGCACAAGGTGTGGCTTCACTCGCACAGAGTAACTGGGAAACTACTTGGGCATTCTCTTGCTAAAGAAAGCGTCTATCAAGGTACATTTTATATGCATTATATAAAATAGAAGAAAGAGGGTGAGTGGTTGGAAAAACAAGATAATATCTACGGCTGGTAGAGCCACATTAATAGAAGCAATCATTGCCACCCCTTCAAACTATGCTATGCAAATAAATTAGCTTCCACACTCCAGATATGATAGATAAAGATAAACTGAATATTAATTTTCTATGAGGTGATGCGGGGAGAAGAACAAAGTTCACTTAATAAACTAGAACAAAGTTTGTACACCTAAGAATAGGGTGGACTTGGCTTAAGGAGTAAAGAGAATAACACTACACTTTTATCCAAATTAGGTTGGAAAATAAAGGAAAACAACAAGGCACTTTGGGTAGCTGCAATTAAGAATAAAAATGTAAAGCAACATGATGAGTGCAAAAAATCCCAACTAGGAGAGCAATTCTAAAACCCGGAGATATACTACATATAGGTACAAAATGGGCAGTTGGAAATGAAGAAAATGCGGCATTCTTGGCAGATTGGTGGGTGTGTGTGAAATACCACTATATAGAAGACAGTACATCTCCTCCCCATAACTGATCTACCGGTAAAGTGGTAGAATTCGTTAACTTAGAAAGTAGCTGAAAGCCCTATAGGGAACATTTCACACCCCATCATATCTTGGAGGAAACATTGCACACCCTGCTGCCTAAACATGTGCCTTTTCAAGATAAGCCCTATGGGTGCCTAGCTAGCAATGGCCAATTAACAAAAGCTGCTAAACATATCGGTACGTGGTTGTGGAGGTGGTTGGTTGTGGGCTGCTGGTGGTGAAAGCTATACGGTTGCTAGTGGTGACTGTTTGGTGCAAGAAAAATGAAAAAGAAAAGAAGGGATAACAAAGAGGGGCAGTTTGGCTAGTAGTGTAAGGTTTTTCTTGGGACAAATAATTGGTGTTGGAGATAGGAATAGGTTAAATTCGTTTTTTTAGAGGGTAAAAGAAGAATTATAAGAGGTTGTTACTCCAAAATTTGTTGTGATCGACAAAAATGCCTTAATTGATAGACAGTTCTCAGGTGATTGCTTGTGGATAGGTTCTATTTCCTTGTTTTAGGACTCCTTAGATTGAATCGTATAACAAAACACACAAAATACTGAATTAACAAAGAAATATGTCTTTATTAATTTAATCATGTGGGTTTCAGTTACAGAGTGACTGATTTAACAGGGTTTGATTACAGTGCTAACTACTTTCTAAAAACTAACTCTAACACTACTCCTAAATGCCCTGATCGTGGGTCTTGTGGAGGGTTTGAGTTGTTGTTTTCGTCTTCTTCCTCTTCCTCTTTTATAGTCAATCCTCTAGACAGTTTCTCCCTCGTCGACGGTTATTTGTCTTCGTAACTCCTAGGTTGTTGTTTCTTCTTTCAAATCAAAGTAATAGTTGATCGCTTTCTGCCTTTTCTTCAACTCTTGACATGTGGCGACCACCTAATGATTTCAGGCTTGCCAACAACACATACATCAAATGTTCTTACAATTTATATTTTAGGTCCAAACAATGCCCCCTTATTTAATTGGGTTTATTCCTTAATCCAAGTGAATGAATCATCACGTCCGTTGTCTTTTCTCATTGCCTTCTTAAGATGTCTTTCAACAGCTAATCTATTTATTTCAAATGAGATATAACCTCTGGAAAACCCTCAACGCGCCTATTTAAAGGGTTCAACCACTGTGGAATTCTTTATCCGTATTGTTCTTCTTATCTTTTCTTTTGGTAATCTTCCTTGGCTTGTTCTTAATTTTAAACTTCTTGATCTGTAGATGGCGTCCAAAACGGAAAGTAAGTTACTCTACTCCTATTAGCTCCCCTCCAAACATGCCTCCTGCTCTTTGGTTCTCTACAAACCTCAGATATGCCATTTGGAATTCAATTGATGATCGAATCCTTATCCCATCCGAAGACCATGGGGCCAACTTTGCTCTAGATCCAACCTTCAAATCCACCATGCTTCCAGTATTGTCTGAATGCTACCCTATTACTCACAGAGAAAGCTTAACGCTTCATCGCCCTCATCTACAATGGAGGCACTGGGATCAAGGGCTTACTCCTTTGAAAACTTGGTTAACGTCTTACAATGTCATGCTCTTTCCTCCTGGCATGATGTCTCCTTGCATTCTTGATATCGTGCACATAAAAGGGCTTTCACCAACTGGTATTGAGGTAACTACAACCTTGAAACCAAATCGCATCTTGGTAGATATCCCTACCAATTTTAGCTATTACAACCATATCTCTTTCTTCTATTGCTGAAGAATTCACCACAAAAAATGTTGTTGAGGTGTCCCTATTACCCACTTAGAGTTGCACTAGCAAAATTTATTTTGCAGAAGAAGAGTCCCCTACAAAATTACTGACTATTATGTTAGTATAAAGCAAATCATTTTCTTCATTGTCTAATACTTCCAGCATTCTTGAAGGCAAAATATTCATCACTACCCCATTATCAACCAAGATCTTGTTAATTGGTTAACCATCGATGCGGCTCGAATGTACAATGGCCTTAGATGTTTAGACAATTCCTTCTTGAGTGGGTGTAATATCACTCTGTCTGTCCCCCCAGTCTCCTTGTTCGATGCTTACAGAACTTCCATCAGGCCTAGACTAATTTACTATTTCTACAAATATTGCTACAGGCTTAGTACTATCCTCTACATCTCCTACCAATTGACTTGGTTGTCCTGGCTTAGCCTTAAATGACTTGGGTAAAGCCAATATCATGTTACATTATGCATCATCTTTGAGAAAGGACTCTATATTGTCGAAGTCCATTAGCTCCTCATTAGAGAGAATGCCCTTGTCTTCTTCCATTTTCTCTTTCCCTTTTGATAAGAGATCTGCAAGTAAATTTACTTCTCTTTCAGACAGATCCAATATTTGTTTAAACTCAACAATCTTTTGTCCAAAATACTATGTTTAATCTGGACCTCTTTGATTTCTTTTTTGTTGCTTCCTGGTCCAATTAGGGTTTTTGCTACCTATCGACAAACTAGGAGTTGAGTAAGCCTCCAAAATAGTAGGATTTCGTCAGCTCATCCACGCAGCAAACTTCCTCTATTCTCTCCTTTTCTAAGTTCTGCTAAAGGTCTGGTACCATGCCCCAGATGAAAATTTTGGGCGCTAAAGTTAGTACCATTTATCATCATGGACTTCAGGGGGATTCACTATTCTTGATCCACTCTTCGAAATGCTCTCAAATCTCCCTTTTTCTCTTCTAGGATTGTTACGCTTGGCATTCTTGCCTCTTGATCTTATTCCACATAGTCTTTTTGGCCATCGATGATCTAACAAAATGTTTCATCCCTTGTGTTTTTCCTCTTCTTGCTTGGTCCTTGTACCTGGTTCCCCTTGCATCCATCCTGATCTCTAGGAGATAATTTGTACCTTTACATAGCCATTGTAAATCTAATTATCCCCTTCACCTCTGTGCTGAATTGGAGTCCTTTATCAGTGAACTCCTTGACTACATCATCCAATGGGATTACATCAGGTTTGGCTATTTCTTTTGCACACTTGAAACACATAACTAGTGACAGCTCCTCGTTGTACCCAAGTCTGCTTTGCACTGGGACTCTCATCTTGGGAACAATTCTCTCTTTGCCAACCACAGAACTAGCAGATTCCTTGTTTCCCAACATATTAACAAAAACCACATTAATGTTTACTTCCTTGGGAAAAGGATACTTGCTAATTTTCATGGTTTCTTCTTCTTTTGTGGTATACTTAAGCATTTTCTTTTATATTAGGTCTTGCACTCGATTCCTAAAGGTGACACAATTTTTAGTTGAATGCCTAAACAAATTGTGCCATTTGCAATACTGTTTTCTTTTCCTGTCTTTTTCCAGTAGGATACTATGTCCCTGAGATAAAACTATGAACTTTTGGTTGATTATCTCATTGAAGAAAGTATCAGGCATCGACAGATCAAATGATTATTGTCTAGAAGTCTAAGGTGTATCCTTCTTAAAAGAATGATTAGATGGCATGTCAATAAGGTCTTCAATCTTTTTCAAGGTATCACATATGATTTGTGACTTTTCTATGACTTGTGACACATCTATTTCAACTTCTCTAGCAAAGTCTTGGAAATAAGTTCCAAATGAACTGTTTTTCCTTTGTTGCTCTTCCCTAACCCCTAAGCAATATTTTATATCTGTTAAGAGTATTAGGGTAGTATGTGTAAATTATTAATAGTGATAGGGTAGTATGTGTAATTCTTATTATTGTAAGTTAACTATAAATACAATGATATATGAGAACTAGGTCAAGTTTTTGACCTCTCTCTGTTCCTCTTCAATATATTGTGTTAATCTTTTACACTTAACATGGTATCAGAGTATGGTTTAATCTTAAATATATTTCGGATAATTTAACTTGATTTGTGGTGGTGGTACTGTTGATCGCAGAAGCTACAGTAGTGGTGGTGGTGATACATATGTTGTTGTGGTTGTGTACTGTTGATCGTTGCTAGTGGCGAGCGTTTTGTTTGTCGTTGTGGTGGTGTGGCACTGTTGATCATCTTTTGTTGTTGGGGTGGTGGTGTAGTTATGGTGGTCTGTCTGGTCATCGCAGTCATTCGCTGGGGGTGGTTGAGGCGTAGTCGATCGTTCGCTGTGGTGGTTGAGACACAGTCGAAGATTACCTCACTGTGGTGGCTGAGGCACAGTTGTTCGCTTGGGTGGTTGAGACATAGTCGATCGTTCGTTGTGGTGGTTGAGACCCAGTCGAAAATTAAGGCCATTGAAACCCTAATCGTGAAGAAGACAAGGTCTGGATAAAAAAAAAAACATCCGAAGTCCGGTTCAATTAGCCTTAGACCGATTCAAACTGGTTCAGTCAGTGGTGACTCCAGTTCAGCGGTCCAGGAACCTCCTGTGGCCCGGTTCAGTTAGGTCTTGCACTGGTTCAAATCGGTTCAGTCATCTTTCACTCCGGTTCATTGGTCCAGTGCACCTAGTCTGCCTGATTCAGCCTTCCAGCAGGTGTTTGGGGTCCGGTTCAGCCTCCCAGCAAGCTTTTAGGGTCCAGTTCAGCCTCCTAACAGACTTTTGGGGTCCGGTTCAGCCTTCTAGCAGCCTCAAGTGATCCAGTTCAGCCCTCTAGCAAGCTTAGCCAATCCAATTCTGTTCGATTTTGTGTTCTAGCATTATAGCACCCCTTGTTTGCTATTTGCTGCACTGTTATGGAACCCAAGTAGAATACCGGGTCCCTTACTCCAGCTTTACCACCCACCTCTATCCCTCTGACTATTATCAATGGTCCCATGACCTCCGTTAAACTTAATGGGACCAATTATATTTTATGGTTACAGTCTGCTCAAGTCTTTCTTCGTGGCAAAGGATTTAAGAAATATTTAGTGAATTCTAAACCCGAGGAAGTTACTCCTAGATATGATCAGTGGGAACAAGAGAATGCTCAGATCATTTCCTTACTATTGAATAACATTGAGCCTAGTTTTAGTTCTACTTTACTCTACCTTGACACTGCCAAGGAGATATGAGATCACTTGACCACCATGTATTCTGGTACAGGTAATTTTACCCGTCCGTATGAGGTGTGTAAGGATTACTTCCAGTTGGAGCAGGGTACTTTGAGCCTTGCAAATTATTACTCTCATGTTCGGGGAGTCTGTGAGGAGATGAAGACCTACCATTTGTTTACTACTGATGCAGCAGTTTGGCAGAAGCAACATGAGGACCTGAATGTTGTTAGGTTTTTGGTAAGATTGAAACCCGAATATGAGGCTATTCGTTCTCAGATTTTGGGTGGTTCTAGTCTTCCATTACTGCTTGAGGTTTTCTCTCGTTTACAACGTGCTACACTGTCTACTCCTTCAGGCATCGATCATGGTGTCTCCATTGATCGCTTAGCTCTTGTAGTTCCTAGTAGCCATAGTGATAGTCATCGAGGTGGACGTGGTGGTCGTGAGAGTCGTAGTGGATCCCGTTCCTGTACTCACTGTGATCGTGGAGGACACACTGTTGACTTCTGTTGGGATTTATATGGTAAATCCTCTAGTGCTGCTAATCAGGTTTCTTATCAAGATGATACCTCTGTTATTGTTTCCATACCTCGATCAGTTCCACCAGACACTGGATCAGTTACTATTATACTGGGTCGAGAAGAGTATGCCCAGTTCTGTCCCAGCAACAGGCTGTTCCATCTTCCTCCACTGGTACTTTTGCCCAGTCAGATACTGTTTCCACTTGTTTATTGTCCTCTACCCGCAGTCCCTGGATCATAGACTCTGGCACTTCTGACCACATAACTGGTGCGTCTGATGTTTTTTCTACTTATAAGTCTGTTACTTCTACACGTAGTATTAATCTTGCTAATAGCACTTGTTCTAAAGTTTCAGGTCTGGGAACTACTCATTTGAGTCCTGATATGTCCTTATCATCCGTGTTATTTGTTCCTCAGTTTTCTTTTAGTTTACTTTTCATTAGTAAGATTACCCGTTCTCTCAATTGTTCTGTAACCTTTTATCGTTCTTATTATGTCTTTTAGGATCTCAAGACGAAGAGGAAGATTGGTACAAGGCATAAAGCCGGTGACCTATATTACTTTGATTTTGATTCACCTACTCGGGCTCTATAGACCTCGTTGTCTCCTTTTCAATGGCAATGCCATCTTGGACATCCCTCTCTCCAGAATCTGAAACGCCAAGTTTTCAGTCTTAGTTGTGTGTCATCTTTGTCTTGTGAAGCTTGTCAACTTACTAAGTATCACCGTGTGTCATTTCAGTCTAGAGTCAATAATCGTGTGTCTAGTCCATTTGAATTGGTACATTCTGATGTATGGGGTTCAATAAAAAATATTTCATCTAATAAATATCCTTATTTTGTGTCTTTTGTGGATGACTATTCTCGTGTGACTTGGTTGTTTTTTATGAAAGTTTGGTCTAAATTATTCTCTATATTTGAGACCTTTCGTAAGGAAATTAAAACTCAGTATGATTATCGTATACGTATTTTACATTCTGATAATGCTCGAGAATATGAATCTGATCCTTTTTTAGCTTATCTTAGTAAAATTGACATTATTCATCAGACTTCCTATGTTTACACATCTTCACAGAACGGTGTTACTGAACACAAGAACCATCATTTGTTGGAAGTCACCAGTGCTTTGTTATTTCAGATGAATATTCCCCGTTATTTTTGGAGTGATGTTATTCTTACTGCTTGTCACCTAATTAATCGTATACCATCCTCTGTGTTAAATGGACAAAGTCCAT